TGGGCCCTCCGCGCGCGCGGGGAACGCGCGAACGTGGACTTGGCGGTCAGGGGCCAGAATGTTGCTAATCAGCGTGCGCCGAATTTCGGATCGCCAATCGAGTCGTCGGCGCTCGCACTCATTCGCATGCGCGCGGCGCGTGTTCCAGCCCGAACGGCTCCAGAGCATGTGTTCGCGAGGCTCGCCGCTGCCCCTCCTCGAGTGGCAATTCGCGGTTGTTCGCGACTGCCCTCTGCCGTCCTCGATCGCCCCCCCCCGCGTGTTGGAGGTGCTCGCGCAATTCGTTGCCGCCCTTCTCGCCGTCGCCCTCGACCGACGGGGGCGGCGCCAACTTGCCCGTCCAAGCCTGCTTCGGGCGGGCCGTCGACAGCGGGGAGTTGCTCGCGTCGGCGACGGCGGCGACCGCGGCGCGGCGGCGGCGGCGGCGGCCGCGTCGATGTCGCGGCCAGGGGGCGGCCTCAGCATCGCCGCCCACGGCCCACGCGCGCCGCGCCCTCGCGGCCCGAGCCAGCCCAATCGTAGTTGTTATGCATCGCTCCGCCGGCCCAGGCTCGGCGCAGTTCCCGCTGTCGCGAGCGCGCGCGAGTGCTCGCGCCTGCTTGTAGGCGCGTGCGTAATCGCGCGCGCGCGTCGCGCGCGAGCGCGCGCGCTTGCCCGACCTGTTCGGGCGCGCCAGACACGACATAAGATAGAAGATGGCCCCTGGCCTGGCGAGCCAGCCCGCGAAGGACCGCGCGAAAGAACCGCGCGCGAGCGGCGGCGTGCAAGAGGGGCTGGCGCGCTCAACGAGGCCAGCCTGAAGCTGCGGAAGAAGCACCTGGACCCGGTGGCGATCGAGCATGCTTGCCCAGACGAAGCGGCCAACGTCTCGAGGGGTAAGCCTCAGCGCATCCGACAGGTGCCCGCGCGCATTGCCAGGGCCAACGCAACGCCCCAGGGCGGGCAGCTCGAGCTGGAAGCGAGCTATAGGCTGATCTCGCCAGGACACTCGCTCCGGACAAAGGTTGGCATCTGGCGCGGCGCGCGCGGGCAGTCTTAGCTTTGGGCTCGCTGTCTCATTCTTGTTTATGTCGCTGGCTGGGCATGTCGGCTGGGATCTCGATTCGTTGGGCGCGGAGGCAGGCTCCTTTTCGGGGCGCCGCATGGAGCGGGAGGTGCGCTTCCACCCCCCGCCCGACGGGGGACCTGTCCTATCTGGGGGATTTCTGATTCGAGCTATGAAGGGCCTGTCCGGAAGAACAGATGCGCCGAGGCTGCGGCATCTTGTTCTCCGAGGGCGAAGGCAGCGGGGGCTGAACGAATGCCACTGCGCCCGTGCCTACTCTCAGGAGAGGGCGACTATTCCACTTAGTTCAAGACGAAGTTCTTCAAGTCCTTGAGGCTGAAGCACGCGCGCACCTGCGACTTCGCGTTCTCGAAGCGCCACATGTCGCGGCGGCCCACGATCGTTGCGTGGGCGGGGCCATGGAAGCGGCAGCGCAGAATATCAAATGCTTCCAAGTACACGGCGAGGCGCCAGCTACTAGAAGCGCCGCTGACGCCGGATGAGCTGTCACCCCCACGATCGATCACTGGAGAGTTGTCTTGGCCAGGGCGCGAGGCCTCCCCCGAGTTCGACTGCGATGCCTCTGACCTTCAGCGGGGATTTTCAGAGGCTGCGGCGAGCGCGCTCGTCAAGGCGAACCCAGCGCTGCGCGATCTCCAGGGGCGATCCAAAAAGCTGGCCATGACGTTCATACTAGGAGATGGCGGCACGGTAGTGACCGGACTCTACACCGACGCCAGCTTCGACCAACAGCCTCGCGGAGGCAGCCAGCTGTGCCACATGGTGCTACTTGGAGACAGACGAGACGTCGAAATGCGAGTCGGCAAAAATCCATCGAGCGGCGCTCCCAATACTTGTAAACGAACCGGCAGCATGGTCCGCGCGTCTCCGCGCGCGCGATCTTGACGCGCGTGCCGGGCAGCTGGGCGGGCGACTGGAAAGTGGACATACGGTGGGTTCCTAAAATGTGTCGGGTAGGCTGCATAAGCTTGAGCGACGGCCACCACGGGGAGGGCAGCATCCCTATCGAGCGCCAGACCGCGTTGGACATCTACAATATCCGCCAGTACCTCGAGGACGATGACTCGCTGTGGGCCATCACCAACACTATGTCAGTGGATCCGCTGCCAACGCGCTGTGGCAAGCTGGAGTCCACCGCGCTGCTTTCACGGGCCACCTGAGCTCGACTCTGCAGGCGGCCTGACGAGGCGTTTGGGAGGTTCTAAGGGAGATCTTGGCTTTCGGTGGCCATATCGGGGCCCTTTCTGGGTAGTCGTGGATCCTTTTTTGGGCTCTTCAGGGCTGCTCCAGAGGCTTATGGGACGTTTTGCGGTCGTCTTGGGGGGCCTGTTGGGCCGTCTTGCGGACATTTTGCTGGCTTCTAGAGTTTTTTTTTTTTTTTTTTTCCAAAAGGGGGAGAACGCCACAACCATTCAACAACTTGTCAGGCAACAGTGTGATTGTGGCGTCCCGGAGGTCCCTTGGAGCCTTCTTGGGGCGTCGTTCGGGTCCAATTGGCAGCACGGAGGATATCATCAGCTGTGTTTGTGGGCATCTATAGTCTTGGGGGCCATTTTGGCAGTTTCGGAAGCGTTTTTGAGGCCATCTCGGCAACCCTGGGGATGTCGTCTGTGGGCGTTGAGATCTTTGCGGGTTTTTCCGCGCCGCTGGCGGGCTGGGCCGGGACCCCATTGAGAACCTTCGAACGAGTCGAAACAACCCAACGTTCGGCAAGCTGCGCACCCATGTGGCAAGACCACAAGGGGACTCGGACTGATGTACTTCGGCCTATCCCGCCGGGGTGTTTGGGTTTGGGTTGTGCACAAAAGGCCTTTTAGACGTTTTTTTGGGGGACATATAGGGATTTGTGTGCAGGCCTCCTTGGGGAAACTTTAGGCTCCTTGGGGGCCTCTTCGGGGCCGCTTGGATGTGTTTGGGCCATTTGGGGGCCTGCTGGTGGTCTCGGGGGCCACGTGGGGGTGGAGGTTTCAAATGTCAGTTCGATTGTCCCTGCCTAACTCTGGCCCTTGTTTACGGATCCCTGGGAGCTCATTTGGGGCCCATACTGAAGTGTTCCCAGGCTTGGAAGACAGCTCATGAGCCCAAAAAGGAGTCCAGCTCGGACCTGGGGACACTATTGGGGCATGTTGGAAGTCACGTTCTGGGCATCGGGACAAACAGGTCCGTCATCACCGGGTGCGCCCAGGAGCGCTTCGGAATACGCAAAGTACAAATGAATTCCCGCCGGGCGTCACGAAACGTCAGGAACGCCCAGGATTCGGGGCCCCGCACTTACAATACATCACCACGCCGGAAGATGTTCTGCTGGGGGTTAAGAAACATGACAACTCCGATGGGTCCAATGTGATTGATTTATGGTTGTGTAACAGTTTCGTGGATCCTATGTCTGACTTGCACGGAGACAAATACCCGTGTGTAAAACAATGACCCTTTCTTTTCCTGAAGCTAGACCGAAGGTATGAATCTCATGGGCCCACAGGTAAGTCGATCCACGTGGCACTGCACGCGAGGCACCATGCCGTGCACGGAGCCGTGGCGTCGCAGACACATGCTGTGACTCTGCGGGGCAGGGGCTTTCTTGCAAGGTGAAGAGAGGCGAGGAGGATGGAGGCAAGGGGAGGGTAGAGGAAGGGAGGAGTGCGACGGAGGAACGAGGGGGATACAGGAGGACAAGTGAGGGAGGAAGGGGAGGGGGAGGGAGGAGGGAGGAGCGAGGTGGAGGAGGAGGAGGAGGAGGAGGAAAATGAGGAAGGAGGGAGGCGGAGGGAGGAAGCAGGAGTGGGGAGGACGTGGGAGGAGGGAGTGGGAGGAGGACGAGCAGGAAGTGGAAGAAAAGGAACAGTGGGCGGACGAGGAGGACGAAGACAAGAAAAGTGTCAAGGTCGGAAGCTCGAGCGCCACAGCGGGCCCAGCCACCTCCGCCTCCCCTAACCCCTCCCATAACATGCGGGTGTTCGAGTGCCACAGCGGGCCTGGCCATCACACAAGCTCCTCACATAACATACGATTGCTCGAACGCCACAGCGGGCCCGGCCAATTCCTGCATCTCCTCCCATAACATGTGGCACGCCCCGATTCGAAACAACTGCAACATACATCCGTTCACTTGAAGGGCACGGCGCTTCCGACATGCCGGGCTCAAAAGGAAAATATTTCCGCCCGCGTGCGTATTTTACTGGGAGGACCCCATTCTCTTGATGATTGCGAAGGCTTGAAGGCCGGTGCCGCCGACCTGGAACGGAGACGACGACGACGACGACAATGGTGACGACAGCGACGACGGCGACGCTGACGTGGGCCAGAGTCCTCAGGGACGTTTCTTGGGTCTCTTCGAAAGGCCATAGGGGACCGGGGAGGAATATTGGGGCCTCATGGGACCCTCTTGTGGGCCTCTTGGGAACCTCTTGGGGGCCTCTTCGGGTTTCCTGGAGACCTCTTGTGGGCTTCTTGGGGCCTCTTGGGGGGGCCCGAGGGCTCGCAATGTCCGTTCGGGTCCCCCGTTTGGGCACGCTCTTGGAGCCGTTTTGGGGGCCTCTTGGGCCGCTCTGGAGGCGTTTTGGGTTGTCTTGGGGTCCTCGTGGGCTGCTCCTCTTTGGGCAATTTTGGCCTGTCTATTTTCTGAGGCCCCGGGACCCCCATGGGGGGATGCGTATCTGATCGCCCCCCTGGACGAACCCCTTGACCCTCCCCCCGACGGGGGATGGATCAAAGGGAATGGGCTTCCCTTCGACTCGATTGCGACATTGCCAGATGTTTATCTCGCTGACAAGCTTGAGGAGGAGGGTGTAGGGAAAGGAGACAACGCAGACGACGGTTCGAATCGACAAGCCCCTTATTCACGCTGGCAGGGTCGGTGGATTTTCCATTCGGTACCTACGGCACAGTGGCAGAATATCCATGTCTATTGAAACTATATCCGTATGTTGTTTATGTCGTCCAGTCGGGTCCGCGTCACACCAAAATGTGTTGTTGGCAGTTCCGTCATTGCAATTGTGGCTCAAGTTTTCAGCATCGCAGCGCGAACCCCCGAGTCTTCCACGAGCTGCAGCCACTCCACCGCGATGGCGTCGCCTCGCTCCGCCGTCCTGACCGCGTCCGTGCTGCTCGCGTGCACCGCCCTGATGGCCGCCTTCGTGCCCTCGCCCGTGGCGTCTCGCCCGTCCGCGCAGGCCGTGCCGGCGGCGGCTCTCAGCGCAGCGGCGATCGCGGCGCCCACCGCGGCCTACGCGGCGGAGGACTCGAGCGTGTGGATCCCAGCGCTGTCTGCCGTGGGCGCGGGGTTCGCCATCGGCCTCGCCGCCATCGGGTCGGGCGTCGGCCAGGGCATCGCCTCCGGCCGCTGCATCGACGGCATCAGCCGCCAGCCCGAGGTCGCCGACGATCTCCGTGGCGTTTTGCTCCTTTCCCTCGCCTTCATGGAGTCGCTGACGATCTACGGGCTCGTCATTGCGCTGGTGCTGCTATTCGCCAACCCGCTGATCAAGTAGGCCGAGGTTCCAGGATCAGCGGTGAGCCGGATGCCTCCCTGAGGGCGGGACAGTTTGATAAGACTTCGCGGATGTGGAGGGGACAAAAACGTTGTTGGCGGTCGACGGCTACGACTCGCATTTGCAACATCATCATCATTCTCGGCTTGTCAGGCACCTGTCGGGGAATCTGTTGGGAAGTATCTCAGGGATTCGTTGGGTCTTGTTGGCGGTCATTTGAGGGACTCTTGGGCATCCTTGTTTCCAGGCCTCCCAAATTGGCTCCGAGCAGGTGGGGTCAGCGAATCGCGCCCAATCGCCGATGCGTTGGCGATGCGGCTCGATATGGAGCCCGACTTTAACTTTCTCCACGCCGACGTCACTGATACATCGCCGATTCATTGGCGTTGCATTGGCGATACGGCGCGATCCACGGACCTCGTCTGCTCGGACCCCATTCGATAGGCCTCCACCGCTGGGTGGCCCTGAGAGCCTTAAGAGGGCTCCTGGGGGGCATCCTCGTGTGCCTCCGCGCCCGCGACCGCCTGCCGCCGCCACAGGAGGGGGCCTCCGGGCAGGGGCAGGACAGGCCATGGATCGGGGGAGCATCGGCAAGTCCAGGGCTTCATCAGTTTCGACTTACGGAGTACAATCAGCACGCTTATTCAGGCGATCGCAAACATGGATCAAGGGGGCGTGGATTCCCTGGAGAATTGCGGATTTCCGCCGCCGAACGAGGCGGCACCGGCCGCGTTTTGGGGAGGGCACTTCCCCCGATCCATGGATTTTCCGACCGCGCGCCAAATCCATGGATCGCTAATCCATGTTTGCGCGCCCCCGGCTGAAACAGAGAGATGTTAACTTCCACCGCATCTTGATTTTGCTGCCACCCGCTTTTTTAGTGCCGCCGCATCTTCATGAGACGTCGCTTGCGCACCGCTGCCGCTTGCGGCCAATCAGCGCACCGACCAGCCCCACAGGCGAACTTGGTCGCAGCGCAGTAACCTCGCAGGCCTAGAGGTTGACACCAACACCAATGTCGGCGGTGTGCCTCCACCGAGGGAAGAAGATCCCGATCTCGGTGATGGTGGTGATATTCTGACTTCCGAGGTGACCGAAACATCACCACCAACACCGCAATCGAGGATCGTCTTCCCTCTTCCCCCCTGTGGAGGTAACCCCCTGTGTTGGTGTTGGTGCCAATTTCCAGGCCTCCACTACGGTCGGACTGAGGTATAAGGTCGAGGTCAGTCCTGGCAGGGGATCCTGATGTTCTTCGTGTCTGTTGGATGCTCTTGTGCATCCTGGGGGGAGTGTGCCCTCCAATGTTCTTCAGTTTGACCGGCGGAGGGTTTCATGTTCTTGAGGGACGTTCTTCTGTCCCAGGTCCGGCTGTAACCGTTGCTTGCACCTTGATACTGCCACGCCTAAACAAGTCGGGTTCCAGGACGGGGCTCCGGTCTCCGCGCCGCTCCCTAAATAGCCTCGGGTCGGGGGGGGCTGCTCGTGGCCCGGGCTCGCCGTAAGCCGGGGAAGACGCCCCCTCCCCGTTCCGCAGCCGGCGCTCCTTCGGAGGTCGAGGGACCTCCTGCCCGGACGCGTCGATTCGCGAATTGGCCCTCGCTGCCACGGCTGGGTTCGCCTCGAGCTCCAAACATTTTCCCCCCGATGGTGCACCCCCAGCCCCCATTTTGTGCTGGGCTGGCCCCTCCCTCCTCGGGCCGTCTGCCTGGGAGTCGTCTCATCTCATCTCATCTCATCGTCTCGAACTCCAGGTCAGAAGGCACCCCAGGAGAGGTCAAGGTCGGTACCTTGTGGTCTCCCCACTGTCTCCGGCGTGAAGCATGAGCGTATAGAAGTACATGTGTGCAGTGCTTGCGCCAGCGGGGTTATGCTTCGGAGGTTGATAGACCTCCTACCCTGACACGTGAGTAAGGAATTGGCCGTTTTCGGTTCGCGAGAGGGCGTCGCGGCCGTCATTTTTGCGGGTCCAGGTCCGTCGGTTTCGGTCCTAGGCCGTTTTCACTGAGGGGTGGTTTACTAAAAGGGAGGTTTGTCCACCGCCGAGTTCCTCATGACGGCACGATGGCTGTCAGTCGGAGCCGTCCAGAAGGTGTTGGGGGCCTTCCAGAAGGTCTTGAGGCTGTGTTCGGAGGGTGAGGGGGGACGGTGGTCTGAGAGAGGGGGGATATTGCCTGGCATGAGGAAGACGAGGATGATGACGATGAGGTACGACTACACATTTGTTGAGCCAGAAGGGGCACGCGGCCGTCTCACCTCCACATTCCCCTTGGATCCTTCACCATGAGTCAATGAGTTAGAAGACCCCCCGAAGGGGAGGCGAGAGTACCTGTCTGATCGGCTCTTGTGTTTGTCGTGGCAACGGGGAAGCGCGACTAAACCACTAGTCAACCCAGGGTCCCTTTGGGTCCATCCTGGGGCTCCTTTCGGTGGCCATTTTGGCCCTCGTGTGGCCGTCCAGGAGGGCATGGAACAAAAATGGGGGGGAGCAGCTTCGATTTGTACTCCCTTCTCTTCCCCCACCGACCCAACCAAGTGACGCCTCTTAGAACCAGATTCTGGCCCTCCTGGGGGGTCTTGATTGCCTCTGGTTGGGCACTTGCTGGGGCGCGTTGAGGCTTCAGAAGCACTTCGGAAGCAGACCGCAACGATGATGCAGCTTCATGTGGTCGTTGTTTTGTTCATTGTTTTGCCGATCGGCACGGGCCCTCGCACCCCCCCTCCCCCCCCTATGGAGTAGATCCTGGCTGTTCCTGGCGCGAGTTTCGAGCAGGTGGAGTCCCTACCCCATAGGACGCACGGTTCCAAACAGCCGCACGAAGCAGAGGTCTGGAGCCAGCCAGACCCCCCCCGCTCCCCCCCCCTTCCGCCCAATGTCGAAACGCCGAATATAAAAACGCTCACCGTTGGACCACCTTGCGTCTCGGGGCGGGTTCTGCATCGGGGGCTGGTGGCAGGAGTGGGGGGGTCGGCGCAGGGCGTGGCCACCTCTGGAGAAGGCAGGGCCTCGCTGGGCGGCTCGGTGGCCACGTTGGGCCGCCCTGGGGCGATCTTTCGGGCGATCGCAAACCTTGGCATCGCTCGGACGTGTGCATGTTTTCTTCGGCGAGGACCATGGAGGAGCATCCTTGATCATTTGGCGAAAAAACCACGCACGAAACCGACAAAAAACACAGGGAATGGACGTCCGAGCGATGGCCAGAAACACGGGTCAAGGGGGCGTGGGTTAGAGACGGGTCCCGTTTCCATGGGAAATCGCGGATTTCCACCGCCGAGCGAGGCGGCACCGGCCGCATTTTTGGATAGGGCACCTCCCCCGATCCGTGGATTTGGCGACCGCGAGCCAGATCCATGGATCGCTAGTCCATGTTTGCCGTTCCCGAGCCGCCCTGGGGCGATCTTGAGATATCTTGAGGCGGCTTGGTTGCAGTTGGAAGGGGGGGGCCCATTCTGCGCCAATCGCGCAAATCTTTCTGGGAGTCTGGGGCGGTGTGGGGTCTATTCGGGAGCCGCATCTGGCAAGCCTGGACGCTTCAACTCGCCCCTGCCCCCGCTCCAGACCACGGGGAGGCGATGTAGGGGGCGCCCGAGACTCAGCGCAGTCGACTGTCCCCAAACAATGTAGGGTCACGGGGAACCGACACATCCTTTTTGCGTCGGCGGCCAGGCAGAGGGACTGCGCTGGCGGATAGGCATTGGTGGGGCATGCGAGCGCGAATTACGCCGCGATGCGCGAGGGGGAGGGGGGGAACCAACACACACACACACACACGCACACACACACACACGCACACACACACACGCACACACACACACACACACGCACACACGCACACACGCACACACGGCACACACGCGCACACACGCACACACGCACACACGCACACACGCACACACGCACACACGCACACACGCACACACGCACACACGCACACACGCACACACGCACACACGCACACACGCACACACGCACACACGCACACACGCACACACGCACACACGCACACACGCACACACGCACACACGCACACACGCACACACGCACACACGCACACACGCACACACGCACACACGCACACACGCACACACGCACACACGCACACACGCACACACGCACACACGCACACACGCACACGCACACACGCACACACGCACACACGCACACACGCACACACGCACACACGCACACACGCACACACGCACGCACACACGCACACACGCACACACGCACACACGCACACACGCACACACGCACACACGCACACACGCACACACGCACACACGCACACACGCACACACACACACGCACACACGCACACACGCACACACGCACACACGCACACACGCACACACGCACACACGCACACACGCACACACGCACACACGCACACACGCACACACGCACACACGCACACACGCACACACGCACACACGCACACACGCACACACGCGCACACGCGCACACGCGCACGCGCAGCGCACAAGCACAAGCACAAGGCACAAGCACAAGCACAAGCCACAAGCACAAGCGCGCACGCGCACGCGCACGCGCACGCGCACGCGCACGCGCACGCGCACGCGCACACGCACACGCACACGCACACGCACACGCACACGCACGCGCACACGCACACGCACACGCACACGCACACGCACACGCACACGCACACGCACACGCACACGCACACGCGCACGCGCACGCGCACGCGCACGCGCACGCGCACACACACGCACACGCACACACACACACGCACGCGCACACACACACACACACACACACACACACACACACACAAACACACACACACACACACACACACGCGCACGCACACGCACACACGCACACCCGCACACACCCACACACACACACACGCACACACACACTCACACACACGCCAGTGCCAGGGCGTTTCCGCCCGACAGTTTTGATCCAGTTGTGGGCGAGGGGTAGGCTGTGCGCTGCCCACTCGTCATGTCCAATGCTTCTCAGAGGGCCAGGTCGGAGCCGCGGGCCAAGGGCGGCGGCAAGGCCAAGGGCAAGGGATTTGGCAAAGCGGGCAAGACCAACGCCAGCGGCTCGGACCCCTTGGACTACGTCCGTTGTGCGCACTGCTCGTACAAGCGGAACTTCAAGTCTAGGGCCGAGTGCTACAATTGCAAGAAGG